GACCCCCCACGCGGCCGACGAGCGGCTTCGCACCCCGCCCATCCGAGGGGACGGCCGCCGACGGGGGGGCCCTCCCGCGCGAGGTGGACCCTGGCCTCTCCCTAAGCGGCTCCGCGTCGGATGGGGACCCGAGGGGGTCCCCGGACGCCCCGCGTGGGGGCTTCCGCGGGCGCTACCGCTGCCTTCACCGGGAGCTGCGCCCGACCCTCGACCCGCACGGCCGGCTGAAGGTGCCGGCGGAGTACAAACCGAACGACCGGCCCGCGTCGTATGTGGACCTCCGTCCGTTTGACAGCCCGGCGCCCGCCGCGACGGGGGTGTGGGAGCTGCTAAAAGGGGTGCGCCTGGATGACGAGGAAGGGGCGCGGCCACGGCGGCGACCCCCCGGCCGCGTCACCGGCGCGGTGGTTCACCTCGATCTTGATAGGGTGTTTGGAGTGCCGGTGAACTCGGTGGCCGCGCGGGTGCTCGTCTACGTGATGAACGCGGTCGACCCCAAGAGTGGGGCCCTCCTCCATCCCTTGAACGGCCCGTATAGCTTTATGCGCGCGCCCGATCTGATCGCATACCAAATCCACACCTCGAGCATCCTCGATCCTGAGTTTATCGCTAACCTGAATGTGGCGGTTGGGAATGAGACTTGTGCGGTGGTCATCGTGGAGTATATCACCAGGGAAGAAAAATTCCCCATCGTGCTGGGGCACTGCTGCTTGCCAATCCAAAACACCTCTCACACCGGTAACTTCCTATGCCGCATTCGAATGGGCGACCCACGACGCTCAAGAGAGCGGAACCTCGGAGACCTCCGACCAGTAGAAGAACTCGTGGAGGAGCAAGTTCATGACTTGCAGCACTACACGCAAATGGAGATGGAAGCTAGCATCGACGCACAGGCGCTTCGCAACCTCCTGTCAGTTCCACCTCTTGCACGTGCGGAATGTGTGCCGATGGGTTTTTTGGCGTGGCGGCTGAACAGCGACGACGTGGAAGGACCCTACGACCTGATGCCCGGGCAGATGCTTCCCTCCCGGCAGGAGATATGCGTTTTAATGTCCCGCCGTGGTTTAGAGCCGGTCGCCCCGATCGATCGCGGTATCACAGAAAAGGACTTCGTAGATGAGTCTTTTTCAGGACGCGCCCGGCTTCTCAATGATCGTATCAGCTATATCAGCCTGTTCAACCCGCGCCGTGGAGTTTTTTTGCAGGTGGAGTGTCTGCGTGGCTTTGGTATGGGCAAAATTGCAGTCTACGTTGTAGCCGTCAGTTTGCTTGAGAAGCTTAAGCCCCAAGAGTCATTAGATGTGGACAAAACGGATAGACAGCAATTGCGGCACTTGTACTGCACAAATCCCGCGAATTCTCTGTCGGATGTCGGCATTCTCGATTTTGATGACGTACCCTTTATCCTGTCTAATATTGCGCACCATCCCAATACTATGGCTATTTATACAGTACTCAAGGTAACCTTCCCCAAATCGAAAAATTCTCTGATGAATCTAAATTCGAAGGGTAGCCAAAGCAATTCTCCTTTGGATACCGCGCAGAAACCAAAAGTTGAGGGGGTCGGCTGGACCACAAATAGGATCTTTTTAGATCAATCCGATATTGCTCGACAGGGCCGATTTGCCCTTCCACTGCTAAAAATGTCAATCTTCGAGAAGGTTATAAAGGGGATGAAAAAGGAAAGCTTCAACGACATTTACTTGAGGAGTATCCGAGACCGAAAGGCATCCTTTGTGTCGCCCAATGCGACGCTAACGGTCGCGCAAGGTGATCCGGCGTGTATGGTACAGATCCTTAGCGACCTCCCTGGACGTCCACATATCCATCAGCTTCTGATGCCGTTTAACATGCGAAATTGTTTTCCCACGAGCACCAATGAGGGCATGATTGGATATTCGCTCCAGAAGGCCTATGAATCCAGCCTCCGGATCGACGAACAACTGCTCAAAAAAAAGGTGTGTCATGTGGTAGAAAAATATTTGAAACTTCATGGTGAAAATAAATCGTTTTAAAATAATCCCATATATTGTTGAACTATAAATGAAAAAGAAAAGAAAGAAGGAAAGATATTTTTTTATATTGATAGTGTTGTGGTGTTCTGACTTAGCGAATGCTTTTCTGTAAATCATTTTACTCAACTCTTCATTTACTATGTTCTCGTCATTGATATATTGTCACCGCTATTAACATGAGAGCTCTCTTTAATCTTGTGTTAGAGTTTTTTTCGAAAACTCTAACGGATAGGAAAATAAAAATAAACTTCGTTTCCTATGGGACAAGTATAGAGTTGAAATTTTCAAAATATCTTCTATGTTTGAAAGTAGAACTACATATATTTAACCAAAATGCCTTCTCAGGTTCAACATGGATTTCCGCCTCCTATGTGTATCTTTCTTAGATCTTTATTGATCTTTTCGTTCACTTATTTACTAAAATGTTGTTGTTGGTTTTCGCATTTCTTGCTGCTGGGTATGATGTGTGTTACCAGAGGTGTGTAGCTTTTTAGTTGTAAATAAGCGAATCATTGCTAACCACTCTTATGAATACTTTCAAAAGGCAAAATAAAAGATATGCAACCTTGCATGTTCTCTGTTCATTTGGATTATTTCGTGCTTGTCAAAAATTAAACTTTAATTACTGTATACCCTTATTTTGGTTCATTTTATTTTTGCTAACATCTCCCAATCCATATGAATTTGTCATACTTTGTCGTATTGAGTTTTGTGAAGAAACAATTTTCTATCAAGTGCAATTTTTAGTCATTAAGCCTTGTTTGAAAAATTCCAACTATACATACATTATGAGGCCCTTGCTTTCCATGACTACGTGATCCTAAAATTACTCCTGTGGATCAAATTTATTCCTACTCAAGATAGGATGGTAATAAAGAGGTATTTAAACCCTAGTAAATGCCCTCCAACCTATGTAGCTCATGAAAATTATCAACACTAATATTTTGAGATATAGTTTGTCGTAACTCGCGAATAATAGGCTTTTCATCTATGTATGTATATATATATATATATATACCACTTTTGTTCTGTCACTAACTCATCATCCAGGAAAGTGAAATATGCGCTGAACCATATTAATAACTGACATGTGGTTTTTGTTTTTTGATCGGTTCTACGTCGAAAAAATGTTTTTTTATGAATGTATAATACAAATATATGTATAATTATGTATGTGTATATATACAGCAATATTAATAACTATTATCAGAATTTATTTTCCCTTCTGTAGCTCATAATAGTGGTTATCTATTAAATGCATTGTTTTCGCGTTTTTTCCAGTCTACGTGAACATTTTAACGCTTACGGTTGTGGATTATGCGCCACATTTCATTCCTTGATTTTAGAATGGGCTTCTCGTGTAAGGAGAGTGTATAATTGAACGTGTTCATTGAAGATTTCTTCAATACATTTAATACGGTGCTTACCTCTTAGCCAGGGCATTAGTGTATATTTTGCAATGAGAAATAGCGCCTCTTTTACCATGGAGGTATTTCCTAAATGCAACCAAAGACTGCTACATTAAGCCAATTACGTAGAAAATCATACCCATGCCACTCTCTTTGTAATGTGTAATAACTTTTCGATCTTTACCAATAGATGGTAAGATTCTCGAAACAGCGTTTCCTCATATGCTATTTGGAAGTTGATGTCTATATCGAAAATCGCAAAAAAAATTCTAATATTCTACTTGAATGTGCACATTTTTCTAAGGTTGGATAATAAAATCTCGCCTTCTTGCGAACCCATATTATGATCATACCCTATTCTACTCCCGCCTCCTCTCCTCCTTTGAAATCATTTGAATTCGTTCAGGCGCTGTGATAATTTGCATGGCTTCCGTTTTCTTTAATGTAATAAAAAATCAAATCTTGTTAGAATCTTATGAAGAAAGACAAAACAATGACATCATCAATATCTCCACCAATATCACAGCCACGTAGTGTGATATGTGGAGCTCATCTCTGGTGAACACTTTTCGTTAGATACTTCCGTATGCTCTTGATATGCTCTATTCTTTCTACTTTATACTCACCACTCAAACCAGATCTCCTCTTTTGATCTAGGTATTTCTTTACGAGGGCGTTCAGGTGATGTTCGTTCGCACCACTGAGTATCGTTTATTGATCCTCGTTATGAGGAATTAAGAAAAAATGATGATGTCCTTTTACTATTCTGTAGGCACATTTTACTTAAGTAGACTGCCTATAGTGGTTTCCAGGTATCAGAGGTCTGATCATGGATATATCTCTCTAGGTATATAGAAAGGACCATCAGAGAATGTTGAGCTGCAGCTAGAGGATGTGCATATTGTTGTGTATTTAGATATGTTTTTCACAGGTACAAAATTTATTCCATCCTCGAGTGTTTCCTCGTGGAGTTCGCCGCGATATCAGAGGAGTTGGATGAGCTGGCCGTGAGATGGAGTCATGGATAGCTTTTGTCAATTAAAATAAACGCACATCCATACGTTACTGGAACGTTTTTTCTTTTTTAGATTCGATATGACTGAGACGCTTTTGATTTTGTTCTCATTTGTGTGACTTGATGTATTTTTCATCTAAATCGTTTTGTATTTATATTCTAACTGGGATTCAATCAACACTGACACCGTCATAATCAATGCTTTTCTACATGGGGATAGAAGCTGTGTGCAAAGCTTGGGATCCCCGAAAATATCGATTTAGAGCTCAAGAAGCTTCGACAGCGAGTCTGATATTTAGCTTAATAAGAAGTAGCCTCTATTTGAGGGGTTCACAAGTCTATACCCTTTTCTTCTTATCGATAGATTCTTGTGCAAATCGAGAGTAAGGGTTTGCGAATGAATGTTGTCACGTAGATCTACAGCGGAACCAAGTATAAGTAACACTTTGTAAGCTGCAATGGAATGTTTTCATTAAACACACTGAAACATCTTTAGGGTGCTGCTGTCAGTGTAATGCACACACAACGCCTGAATCCTCAAAAGGGTGCGACTAAGGAAGTCCCCCTGTGCACATTATAAAACCAGAGTTTCCACACTTTACGCCTAGATTTAAAAACACCCATATTATCACATGAGTATTCTCACTATAAATTCCATTCAGTACGTGGCTCTAAACTGACTTCGTTCCAAACTCCATTGGTTGTCGCTCCTATTTCAAGAGGTGCTTCTGGATGTCTTAATGGTGGCTCTCCGAATGTGCGTAAGGAGGGAAGTGGTGGCCATGATTATTATGGCTGACACTGAAAAGTTATCAATAGGAACTGAGAGAAAAAAGTATAGGTGATGTTACTCAGCTCAAGGCAACAAAGGGGGGTCAGGCCGTACGCGAGCCATAAAAAAGATGTTGATTTCATAACTTGTACATTGCAATTCTTCATGTTGCAGGTGAAGTTAGTCTCATTTTGGTAGCAAAACACTTGAAGGTTGCTATGGAGATTCAAAAAGGCTTGCAGAAGAACACGCCTTATAAACTCCTTACTCTGCCAGCCATTCGAGCCGCAGAACGGCATCAAACAGCATCCGTGCTTTTTCCCCTTGGAGTTGCTGTTGTATTATAATCAACCTTTCACTACTTATCGTTTCTTTTGTACTAGGCTTAATATAGTCAAAAGGAAAAATACCTTACACAATATTTATTTCATTATCAATAGCAAATATTTAAATAATATACAAATTTAGTCAATTTTACACTCGATACCATACAAGAATATTGCAGCTGGCGTGATGTCTTTTTTTTCACGTGAAACAGACACCATTTCAGCGCAGCGTGAGGTTGAGCTGATCTTGTTGAATTTTCTAAAAAAAAAACAAGATGTATTTGATATTTGGCGTCATCATCCCGATTTCATCGCGCATGTGGAGGGAAGTGGAATGCATTCTGATGTCGCTTCTTTCCGCACGTCATCTGATGACACGAATTCCATGGAAACGAAATTTTTTCGTAGTGCGCATATAGGTTATGTAAAACGACAACTTCAGGATCTCCCAAGCGGGGTTCAGGGATTATACCCTTCGCGGCCGTGGTTAGTGTACTGGTGCTTACAGGCCGCTGACTTCCTAGGCATCACTGATCAGCTCTACGCGCAGGTTCCCGCCGATAGTATGGCCGACTTTTTGTACGCCTGCCTGAAGAGTAACGAAGAGGTGAACACGGCTAGCTTTTATTCGAGGGGGGTAGAAAATAAAGGAAAGGTGAAAGCGAGGAAAGACATCAAGAACGATGGTGGGAAGGAAACCCATCGACGTGAGGTCACGCCGATCGTCGGCTTCGCGGGAGGGCCGTTATGTCAGATTCAGCACCTCATCACCTCCTATGCCGCGTGCTGCGCGCTCTGCATCCTCGGCAAACCGGAGTACCTTTTTAATCTTCCACGAGCTGCTATTAAACGCTGGCTGATCAGCCTTCGCAACGATGACTGCAGTTTCCGCGTACACGATGATGGCGAAAGCGATATTCGAGCCTCATACTGTGCGGCCGTTATCACGACCCTCCTTCGTCTGGACGATCCAGCAACGTGGATCAGTCCACCCTCACGAGAAGACCTTTCCGATGACGAAATTTACGAATCGGAAGCGGCAGAAATCAAGATTGCACGGGATTCACGCGTGCTGACGCCGCAATGCGCTCTTTTTATTGCAGCCTGTCAAACACACGAAGGCGGTTTCGCATGCGGGACGCTCGCGGCGGAAGCGCACGGCGCCTACACGCAATGCGGTTTAGCGGCACTGCTGCTGGTGAAGCAACCTCATCTCATACAACGTGCGCGTTTACGCCGCTGGTTGGCGGTTCGGCAGCTCAGCTTTGAGGGTGGTTTTAATGGGCGCACAAACAAATTGGTGGACTCCTGCTATTCCCACTGGGTAGGGGCCTCTTTTGCTCTTCTGAGCGCCTCGGATAGCTATGCTAAGCTTCGGAACGTCTCCCAAAGAGAACTCGCCAGGTGCATGGCCCTACCCATTGATTCTTCATCGGGCGGGGGCGAGCAACAGGCCGATAACCTCGACGAAGATTACTCGTTTCCATGCCTACGGGCAAAAGAAGTGCTTCTCTTAGACTACACTCAGTTGGTTGATGTGAAGGGTATAAGCTGCAGCAGTGAAGCAGCATGGGACGCGTCGGAAGAAGAGTATCAAACGCAACAAACGTCATTAGAGCAATTTCTATGCATCGACGACGACGCTCTGCGTGAAGGGATGAAGAACCGATTATGGAAGAAAAGGATCGCATCAAACTTCAGGAACGCTTCCGAGCAGCAGCCCCATTCGGATGCTGATACCATCGACCCTGAAATTGAGCCCGACGAGGGTGATTTTCTATTTCACCATGGGAAGCTTCAGGAATACGTTCTCCAGTGCTGTCAGGACAAGAGCTTAGGTGGGCTCATGGATAAGCCGGATTGTGCACATGACGCTTACCACACATGCTACGGACTCTCTGGTCTGAGCATCTCACAGAACTTGCAGTACCTCAACCACGCGAGATCGACCTCGCCCTACGTCATACATGCGTTTCAGAAAGGCTATATTCCTGGAAAGATGTCGTGTGATAAGGATGGCCAAGCACTATCGTGCAGTGCTAAACAAAGGAGCTACGGTGTAGTGATAGGTGGTAAGTCAACCTTCGACAAGGCTGGCGTCAGTCTACTACGTTCTGGCAACCCGATATTTAATATGCACCAGAGTCGCGTTAGTTCGGTCCTAGGCATGTGGGGAATGAAAAGTTTTATTTGAAAATAAAATCCAAAAATAAAAGAAAAATATAAAGTATCGAAGAAAAATGGCCTGGAGTGTGTCCCTGCTAAGGGTTAAATGTTTGCAATACACGCATTTATGTTTTTTGTTTTTTTAAAAAAATGCTAACATCTCACCTTTTTCTCTCAAGGAGTGGGTAGATCGAAAAAATTATTTGATCACAACTCTGGTATGCAACCTTTTATTCATTTTATCATGTGCTTTGTATTTTATTTCCCTTTTTTTCCCCAATTAGCATTGGTGATTTAGATTGTCTTATAACATCAAACCACAAATCTCAACGAAAATAAAAGGAAAAAGGGAAGAACATCATTTGTTTTGACTTCATTAACACTCATGCAGCCACATTCGGATCTTGTACGAATCAACACAATTAAAGAAAAACATCCGAACCTAACCCAAACCCCATCAAACAGTGGGAATGAGCTCCCCTCGTACGTGAGCGAACGCAAAGTTGGTGATCTCTCCGTGAGCAGGGAAGACATCCAACGTGAAAGCAGGAATGATACCCCTGGTGGAGATGCCATTTCGGACAGTCTCGCACAGCTTGCAAAGGTTCCGTTCGATTTGAAACAATGGATTAACGCTGCGCTCACCGGCCTTAGCGAGAATGACAAAACAAAGATCGATAGCACCAATATATGCGAGAATAACAAATCATCTAACAAAGGAGTTGATGCGTCAAATTTTATGATTCGGAGCGAGGGTCTTATCGACAGGCTCATCACGCGCGTACAGTCCCACATACAAGATGTGGGGAGATGTGTGGATGAAATGATCTCTCAAACAGCCGTGCGTCTCCCACGTTCAATTCTCGAGCTTTCACGTATGATAAATGAGACTCAGGAAATCACTAGCGTGTTGGAAGGTCTTCAAGGAACGGTGAAGCTTCCTAGAGGCAATCTTTCCTCATCCACGCGACCTTCCCTCGCTATTGGGAGTGAAGAGTATGTCCAACGGCTCCATGAACTGAAGGAAACACAAACAAAGCTCAAAAGATGCCTGAACGTGCTTTCAAAGGCGACCTCTGTGAACACTAACATAGAGAAGATCGACAATGCTATTGGGCGATCCGCACTGCAGCGCTTTTCAGATGCCCCTATGGGGACTGCAGTGAACGAATTAAGAAAATCTTACACAGCTCTAACGAAGGTAATCAACCTTATTCGGCAAGTTCAGAATGATCTTCAGTATTTGAGAAAAGTGGACCCATCGTACGGTGAAAAGTATCAGGTCGTACTTGAAAAATACGAGGAAATTCTTGAAAAAATGCTTGAGCATGAATGTGTAGAGCGCCTGGTTGAACACCAAGCAGAAAGCGCTGTCGAATTCTTTCAACCCTTGAAGATGATTGGCAGGATGGATGCCGTACTTACCAGTTACGTCAAGCGGGTAGGACATTTACATGCGGAACGCATTCAGCAAATGTTTTGTGTAAGTGAGGAAAATGCAGAGCCCTCCAGTGTGAGTCCTAGTAGGGCGGCAGAGGTAATACGGAAGCAGCTTGTACCTTCCATAAACGTCTGTCTGGCCACAGAATTCGACTTTCTTTGTGATCTTGAAGAAAAAACAATCACTTATCAGTGCAAAATAGACGCAGAAGGTAGCCTAGCATTATTTGAAGATACAACTTCTCGTTTTGATGTACCCGCTTCAAATATTAGTTTACATTCTTCCGAGTATGGGAGTAAAAAGGAGATGGATTCGATATTATTGACAGACTTGACTCCCGCCATGAACTACACATCGAATACAGCTTTTGTGGTGCAGGCGATGGAGCAAATTACTGGCATTATCAGTGAAGCTTTCAACATCCCCATGATGCAACTTCTACAGCACATCCCATCAAATAAGGATCTGATTGATTGCTATGAGGGGATTAAACTGATTAAAGTGTTAGCCAATAAAACAGGTATGGCAGGAAAAAGCCCTCCAAATGAAGTTGCTGCTGCTGATACCCTAGCACGAGTAGACGACCCCGCGGGCCCGCCTCCCTCAAACATTTGTCTACGTGAACAATACGCCGCACAGGCCTCTTTACAAGCCCTCCGCAAGTTTACAGTTGTCTTTCGAGATTCCTCATTGATGAAGATCTTCAGGGATTTCACCGATATGCGGCTGCATATCTCCATGGGCTTAAAGCCTCAGTATCAGACGCCGGACGCACGTAGATCCCTAATATGTGATAGCGCTCGCCTCTCAAGGTTGTCTGATGCGCTTGTAGGGAACCTACGCGACGTGCTTCGTTTTTTCCCAGAGGAGACTATGCCGCTTTGTGTGAAAAGTTGGTACACGTCGCTGTTGAGTTTCTTCTTGAGCACAACGCCAACAGGTTCTGAGATGGCATTCACGAAACGAGGAGACACAAGTCAAGCTGTCTTAAGTCAACTGTATTTCACGACAAAAGTCGTGAAACCTGCGCTTCTGACGTTGCAACGGGATATGGAGGCCTTTCTGACTTCCACTGATGTGCGTGAGCTTTACGCAGATATGGCGGGCGCCCTGCTGCAGATCCTGTCCACAGAGCTGTGGAAACCGATCCTTACCGCGTCTGAAGTCTCCACGGTGGAGCTCCAAACCTCCTTAAAGCATATTATCCTGGTGCCGGTCCTTGAAAAGACTTCGCATTACACAGAGCTCCCTGTCTGGCGCCCGGTGCGACCTCCAGGTCTTGCGAAAGAGGGGGAAGGACAACAGCAGCTGCAGCGGTGGCTTCATGCCGTGAACTTTAGCCCTGGCCAAGTGACACCGAGCGAGCCGGTGCGTGATTTGGGGGAAGCAATCTTGGAGATCCCCCTGAAACTTGAGGCTCTGCGTGCCGCCTCGGTTGATTTGCTAGGTATTGAAGAGACAGGTGTCCTCCCTTTCAGCACGATCGACGGCATAGATGAGCTCTTTTTCGAAGAGACAGAATCATGGCTTGATGGTATCGTCTATGCGGCCGTGGATGACTTTGTAAGAAATAAAGTACTTCAGGTTAAGGTTGAGTTCGGCGATTTGAAGAGCTGGACCGAAGGTGAAGCTGTGGCAGTCCCGGAGACCAGTGAAGAAGCTACAGATGAACTCCTCAAGCAAGGTGTATCGATCGCATTGCAGCAACTTTTGTCAGATCTTGATTATATGAAGAACGTTCTTTCTGCTGTCAGCGATAATCATTTCGATAACGTGGAGAACGTACTAGTAAAGCTGAACACATTGCTTTCGACGTGTGAAACATCAAAGATGTTGAGAGGGAAGATTTTTAAAGTGTGCGAACTAATTAACGAATATTCGGAATAGTACAACTAGCAAGTGCATGAAGGGAAAGCAATGCTGTTATGATCATAACCGTTTTCTATTGATGTACTTCATAATTTCAGGAATAAACAATGTAGCCAGCATTAGTAGTATATATGTTAAGTAATTCCGATATGAACCTCTTCCTTGACTTAAATGCCGTTTAAAATACAAAAAAAAATCTTTCTCACGCCCCTCTTTTCAGTCTACTACCGTGGTTGTTATCTTCCTTTACTATGTATCACAACTCTTAAGGATGGGTCTCTTCAATAATACCACTACGAGCTAAGAATAAAATGGAGGTAAAAAAACGATCGACCATCCATGGAATTAAAGCTCCGTTTCTAAGCAGGCAAACAAAAGGAAGTGTATGCTAAATATACAGATTTTCTAAACGCGTATTGTTTTTTCTTAACATAAGAACATCACCTTATTTGTTTCTTAAAAAGATCGCTGACACAGGCGGGGAGGATGCTTGAAATCCACAATAAGATCCATCCAAATCATTTATGAGATCATCTCATCTTCGTCGATAAAACCCGTGCAGAGCTTTCAAGTCGATCCGAAAAAAAAACACATTCTACAAAGAGTAATTCTCTCGTCGCTTCCAATACGCCAGTGGCCATTCGGGCTCCAAATAACTTACCCTACATATGACTCCCACAGACATTCTGGTGTCAGTTGCAATGCTGGATAGAAGAATAAATTGGTGTAAAAATTAGAGCTGATCGCATCAAAGATTGCGAAATGACAGTTAGACAGAATTAACGAATACATTGTGCAGACATGGACTACAGTATGAAAATATGAATACGAGTAGTACATGGAACACAGGTATATAAGAATGATGAGGAAAATCAAGGCCCCAGATTCTACGCTGAAGTAATATCAATACAAATTAATAACTTAATTTCTTTACCATACCTTCTAAAGGCATAGAAACGCTACCACATGCCTTCAGTACGACAATCCCATGCATCAGCAGCTCAAGTAACTCTTGAAACAAAATATGGCTCACAAAACACAGCAAATAAATAATAAACCTGCCTGAACAGTAGAAGCTTCAAATAAATACAAAAACTTATTAAGACAATACATACATCATACTAATCGAGGAGTACAACCAGCAACACAGTCAATTACAAAAAAAAATACTTACAGCCTAGATAAATAGAGATTATAGGCTAAAAAAAAAATTCGCTGACCT